AGCTGTGTTGTGTAACGTCTGGGACACCTTGACAGAAAATGTCTTACAATACCCATGAAACCGAGGTAGACACATCTTGTGACACGTGTCAAGAGTGTATCTATGTAACAGCATCATTTAGGAGAGTAAAATTCTGCTGTGTGAATGCAGCTAGGCCTGTTTAAGCATGCTGAGAAGGAGACAGCCCCATACCTGTATGCCTGCAGTAGATGTTAGACCCGTACCCTTGGCAAGTATTTGGCCTTGTACTGTTGTCCTGAAAATGTTGCACCTGCTTTGCTGCAGACTACTATCTCTGGTTCAGAGTGGAAACACCTTCTTTGGATATGTGTAAGAGAATGAGCCCTGTGATAGGACAGTAGGCCAGGGTAGCTGAAGGAAGGTGACATCATGTTGATGCGAGAGCCAGGGTCTGCTGCTCACCTTTGTGTGTTCAGGACTGGAACATCTTCCAACAGATTATTGCCTAAGGTATTTAATGTTAGTATAACAGGAAGAGCACTTTCAGGTGTTGTTGTTTCTTTTTTTTTTTTTTTTTTTTTTTTCCTCATTTACACATCCTCCATCCCACAAATGCAGTGAGAATTATGGAATTATGCTTTTACCTACTGAGCCATAAACCATTTTCACTCATTCATTTTTTTGTCTCAATGAATCTTTGGTATTTTAAATAGCAAGGAGGACAAAAGCACCTTTCTCAGGGATAACTACATAAGACACCTGCATCAGAAGAGGGGCTTCCATTTAGTTGGTTTATAGAAGAGAAAGAACCATGTGGTGAACGATAGAATTATAAATCTATTATTTGGAATTGCTTTGTGACAACAAATCAATGACTGCATTCCTTAGTTCCATTCTCAGCCTCCCTAAACTCCTTGGTATCCCTTAATTGGTTTGATTATTCCATTGATTTCTGCAGCTTGCAGGGGTCAGCAGGGTCACAGAGGCTGTTTCTTCTGCCATTTGCCCAGTTGCCACCCACTGCATAATAAGCCTCTTGCTACCTTTTAAAATGCTAACTTGCCCTTTTTCAGCATTTGAAAGAAAGTACTAAAGATCTGCTTTGAGCACATATGAAAGTCCATGTCTGCAAAGTGCTATGTTAAAAAAAAAAAAAAAAAAAGAAAAAAAATTAGTATTGCAAAACATTGCAGGACTCTATCATAGTCATTTTAGCATGACAGTCTTACTCCACATCTCAATATTACATCCAGAAAAGAGGAAAAAAGGAGTGGGGGGGGAAAAGGAGTAACTATTCAGAACTCAGTTCGTTTAATTTCCAGTCACAGTGGATAAATGATAGTGTCCCTCCCCTCCATCATTGCCATCACCTGCAAGGGTTATTAATAGACATTAGGAGGGTCTCTAATCTATAGCAGTGTTAATGGATGCTATTCTAAAGCTGTCCATCACAACAAATTGTAATAATTCACAGCACATCCACAGAGAGGCAGGGACAAAGCAGAGAGTAGTAATCAAAATAGCACTGTGGCACTTAAAACTCTTGTGGTTAGCAGCTGCTTGCAAATTGTTAGAATTGGGTATTTACATAAACAAGGGCTTTCCTGTAGGGAGATCTGCATGCAGTGTGAGTTTGGACTTGTTAATTTCTAGTTTCTAGGCATCCACAAACGGACATTCAGATGCATGCCAATATTTACTACTTCTTTCCATAAGGAGCTTCTTTACAGCATTTATATGACTGGAATATCAGGAATGGTGTGGTGAGCAGGATGAGGGAAGTAATCCTGCCTCTGCACTTGGTGATAGTGAAGCCCCACCTCAAGTATTGTATTTACTTTTGGACACCTCAGTATAGAAAGGATGTTGAGGTGCTGTAGCAGCTCCAAAGAAGGGCAACAAGGCTGGTGAAGGGCTTGTAGAATATGCCTTATGAGTAAAGACTGAAGGAACTGGCTGTATACTGTGGGGAAGAGGAGGCTGAGGGGAGACCTTATTGCTCTCTTCCAATATATTAAAGGCGCTTACAGCTAGAGTGGGGCTGGTCTCTTCTCACTGGTAACAGGTGGCAGGATGAGGGGAAATGGCCTCAAGTTGCACCAGGGGAGGTTCAGGTTGGATATCAGGAAAAACTTCTTTATGGAAAGGGTGGTAAAACACTGGAATAGGCTCCCCAGAGACATGGTTGAGTCACCATCTCCGTATGTGTTTAAAAACCGTTTGGATGTGATGCTCAGGGACGTGATTTAGTGGAAGGTTGTTAGAGTTAGGATAGTATGGTTAGGTTGTGGTAGGGCTTGATGATCATTAAGGTCTTTTTCAACCTGAGCTATTCTATGACAGGGTCTTCCCTTATAACAAAGGAATTAAACTATCCTGGGCTATACACTACATTCTTAACTTGTAATTCAAGTGTGGACCTTCAGTTTCTCATACACCTTTTTGAAAGCTTTTCCTTGGGTATTCTGAGATTCAAATCATTCAAATCCCTCTCTCTCAATTGCCTTCCTTCCCCAAGGACATGCTGAAGGCTAGACTTGCCAGGTAAGGGCTTATCACTGGCAGGTTTTATTTTCTGATTGCATTAGGTATTTTCCAGACAAATAAAACAAATACAGAATAAATATTTTAACCCACTTGTCTTAATCATATTCTTATAGCATATAGCTGAGGTAGGAAGACCTCGCTTGCAGACTGGAAGAGAAATATCACCCATAATGTTCTTGGCAAAAGTCAATTTTCAGTGTCAGCTGACAATGAAAAACAAGGTACAGTGATGCAGTAATAAACTATCTTTACCATTTTTCCTTAGTAAAAGTCTGTACAGGAGGCAAAAAAGAACTTTTCTATGAGGGAAAATTGAAATGAAAGACAAAATTCATCTCAAGGAATTGAACACTGCCAATTAAGTTATCAGATACAACAATGTGCAGTGCTAACATACTAGAAATGCTATATTGTGTAGTCAAATGACTGTGACTCAGCTGCTGTCTTTAAGTATACAGAGAGGACAAAGATTTCTCACAGCACAAGGTTCATTTTTTCAGTAAATAAGGCATTTAATCTAAATTCCCATTACCGGCAGGTGATACTGTCTAATAAGGAGACATTTGAAATGAACAGTGTCAACTTGACAAAGTATGTATCTTTCATTTAACAAGGCATTTAACAATGGTTCAAAGTAATGCATTAGAAATGTACTGGTTTCTTCATCACTTTGTTTTAAGACTGTATGATTTTCTAGAAAGAAAAAAAAGAAAAAAAGTCCTGCCTTTAATAATACCAGGCATAGATGTTTATTAAGGTGGAATTGCTTTTACATGTGGACTCTCACAAGCTTTGCAATGAAAACCTAGATATTGAAGAGTAGGGAAAGGGAAATAACAGTAAACAATGAACTGGTTTATCACTTTATTTAGAAATTCAGTACAGAAGTTAATTAAAAATACCTATACCTTTTTTCCTTCTTTTTCTATATTGCCAGAGTCTTAGAAAGAGAAATTCCATGGAAAAAATGTGTGTAATAAGGATATTATTTAAGCATGCCGAAAACAGAGCATGTGGACCATTCCTTGCATTATACTCTCTTCTTTCAACTCTGGAAAATACTGGATAGTGTTCATGTGTGCATCTTTTTTATCTTTCTATTCTGCCAGTATGTCAGTATGTCTATAGTCAGAAGTGTGAAAGTTTAGGGACTTCACCTGGCTGCCATGATTTTTTTTATGATGTAGTCTTGGTGACTACATCAGCCAATTTCTTCAGGACTCTGGAATGCATCTTACTGGGGATCCGTAGATTTACAGACATTCACCAGGTTCCTCTGGTGGTCGTGATCCTGACTGTCGCTTACAGCAGGAGGGACATTGCTCCCTCAGTTCCCACCTTCCAAACCATTTGTCAAGGGCTGCGCATAGAGCAGTTGCCAGTGAAGACTGAGGGGGAAAAAACTGTTGAATACTTGTCTTCCACTTCAATTCCCTTGCAAAGCTTTGACTAAAATTCTTTTCTTGAAACACCAGTTTTCTGGACCGTGCATCATTTCAATCTGATCTTTCAGCTGACAGTAATTACACTATGGAAAATATAGAATAACTATTACTATGGAATTTTGTCTTTGGTACCAAACCACCATTGAAACCTGTGCATGCTGAGATACTTCTGCTGCCCACATGGCAGCCTGGTGGCTGGGTGTAACAGCTGTGTTTTCCTGACACAGAAACAGCCCTTATTTACTGCTCATATCTTATGACAGAGAGAATCAACTGTGCTGATACAATCCTTTCCTTTGATTTTCTTTTTCTATTCGATGATATTCCAGTCTTAAGTGATAAAGTACAAGTCATTACTCTGTGCTTTTTGATTTGTCTTGTATCTTTCTGTTTCTTATCATTGATTAATGATTCTCATAGACTTTTTCCTTTTACTTTCTCATTCTTTATATTTTTTGGTGCACACAGATGTGTATGATAAAGACTCATCAATGTCAGCATCACTCTACATCTACTTCTTTGCCAAAGATCTCTCTTCATGCTGGCTGTAATTCTGTAACCAAAAAGCTTAAAACCTAGGATTTAGGGGTGGGGACTTTGAAGGTTTGTCTTCTTGGTGTAGCAGTATCTAGCTGACAGGCATGGATGCTGGGGAAATTGAGAGGATGGGCTGCAGAATGTGGCTATGCTCACACGTGATCCCCAAAGAGCAGCTCTGGCTGCTGCTAGAACAGACAGCTGGTGGCTTGGCTGCGATCCTGCATTTCTTGTGTCCCAGTGTGTGTATGCATCTGAGGCAGCAGGGCAGCCCTAGCCATGGAAGTATAGCCAAGCCCTTCCCCTCCCACCAGCCAGTAAGATGGATCCTTGTCACCCTGGGCAGTTCTGCCTACCTGCAGAGCAAGAGAAAACATCGTTTATCTTCCATGTGATTTGCACGCACTGATACACCCTGGCAAACTGAAAATAGATGTTCTGATCTGCCTGTCCTCAATTTCTGTTACCTGGAAATTCATGGTAGCATTTTCTTTCCTTTGTACAGCCAGAGCATGGTCATACCTAACAGATCTGGATTCAGCCTAATTCTTGTCAAGCGACTCCAGTATCTCTGCACTGCACTCCCCAGAGCTCCACACTATATTTGTATCTCTTCATTATAAGAGTTTACAACACAAGAATTTCCCATGAGACTGACGTTCTGCGAGACTGTGATCTGGCTGATTCTGTTTAAAAAGAAACAAATAGAATGGTGAAAGATTTTGTACTGTCTTTGCTAGTTTAATGTAGCAGAAATGTTAGTGAATAGGAAAATAAATCTCAAATTCAAAGGCACTTACTGCTACTACATGATCGATGCTGTTATTGTTCATAATGTTTCTGGCAAGAATGGGCTTGATGTGATACTACAGGAGGGATATAAATGTTTTCAAAACCCATGATACTCCATCCCTGCAGTGTTCTGAAGAGAACAAGACCCTATCATCAGGGTACAGGATACTGCCCTTGGCTAGATGGAGTTAAGAACCTCATCAGAGTCGGAATATGTCTCATGAAGCAGAGATTTCATCCAGGACTAGCGCACCAAAGCCTGTAAGAAGTCATGCTGGAAGAATGATAGATTTTTTTTTTTTCCTCTTTCTTAGTAGTATTCTGAACTCAGATGGTTAAGGGAAAAATAAATGCACTTTCCTAACAAGTCCGAGATTTTGGTGTTAAGACACCTGTGGCTCCAGATAATTCCTAATGCTGATTTCACTCTTGGAGGTTCCAGACTTTCTCTTTTATTTCAAAAGGTACATTTTTAAATCTGCTGTAAAGAATTTAAACAGTAGCGTGGTGCAAGAGGACAAAAAGCCCACATGTGAGTTGAATCCATGATCTTCAGATTAAGTTCTGATCTGGAAGTAAATTTTCACAGCCAGGAAGACTGGTGTCAGCCATATATGTGAAGGAGAAATGAGAGAGAGACATCCGATCAGAAGACAGGTATCTTAACTTTTATATAACATCCCCAGAGAACATCTGTGGTACTTGGGAATACCTATTTGTTTGTATGTCACAATAGAACAGCTGCGATATGTGTCACTGTTAAGCTTCTCAAATGTCAACTAAGGGAATCTTGGGAATCATAGGACTCTGAGGAATAACCATTTCTCGTACTTGAGACAGAGTGGATTGATTGTAACTTGTTTTCTTCACTCCTGTCGTTGATTAGATAGGGATTAGATAGAAAGAGATCTGAAATTCATGATTAAACAGTTTGGCTTTGTTGAGCTCTAAAGCTCTAAAATTCAAAATCACTGACGTGCTTCTCTTTAAAAGCAACCCTATAGAGAAGGAGAATTACCAAGCTCAAAAGTAGAACATAACCACACAGCACTGAGCTCAATTCACAGTGTATGGGTAGGTCCTGTGTGGAAAGCAGGGAGTTAGCCAGCTTGTAGGAGAGACTTTAGGTATCTGACTGTAAAATTAACATAGGTTTCTGCTGAAATTTTCTTATGCTTTGTCCAGCATACTTCAGTAACCATTCCCAGGCTTAGCAGCAGTATGAAGCACTCTGTGTATATTTCCTTCAAATGAAGAGATGTTAAATTATTTGAGGGAGGTAGTGCCATAACAAAAAGGTGGTCACCATCTGATTCAAAGCACTGGACTTACTCTGCACAAAGCTCCCCCCACTCCCCCCTAAAAAATAATTTCCAACTTAGAACATTTTTGCTCTTTGTGGGTAAGCTAATGTTTCCATACGTGCCTTTTTCCCCCTCCTTCCTCCCTGCAATCATTCAAGTTGACCATTCCTGGTTGTCTCCATTCTCCTTCCTTGAGCAAGCATTGTACAACCTGTCTCCACCATGTTTGGCTTTTTCCTCCCTGATGTCTGTTACCTCTGCTGCACTACAGATCACTCAAATCATGGCATTACTCAACCAGAGACAGTCCTGAAAGAAGAGCGAGCCCATGCAGAAAAGCTGTTCACACTCTCCATTGGATGTGCTCCCAGCTGAACTGAACTGGAAGGCCTGATTTCTCTGGATTTTGAGAAAACAGCTATCAGAGAAACCCATGTTTTGAAATTGAAGTGTAATGATCGCCCTCTCAGCTCTAGTAAGCATCCCCCAGTAGATAACCCAGTAAGTGAGTCAAGGCCTTAAGATGGACCGCAAAAGATGATGGGGAAGTGCTGGGACTGATGTCTTCTGCTCTGCGTGTGAGGATCTGTATCTTCTAAAGTGACTTTCAAAAGAAGTGTCAAAAACGTAGATTTGTTAGCAACTTGCCACATCATTGGAAAAGACACGTTGTAATGACAAAGGTTTGTGGGAGGAAAGAATACTTCATGGTATGACAACAAAGGCTCTCAGAAGCCATGAAGTCTTTGAATTGCAGGTGCCATGAGAAGATAACATCAGAGAATCAAGCAGATTGCTACCACCATCCATAAATAAACTTTGTTTCTGGTGATCTTTCAAGCTGAAGCACCATGTGAACCATTGCTTCAGGCCACATTTGTTGTGGGAATAATCTGTCTAATCATAAGCCTATCCTGGATGGCAAGGTGAAATGAAGTACAGAATGGCAGGCTAAGAAAGCAAACACAGGCATAAATGTGGATTCAAAGATTAATGTATTTAATGACTAGATATCTCAGCTATCTTGTGTTATGTGATCCCAGCTGAACTGGGATGGAGAGCTAGTTTTTTGAAAATAAACCAAAAAAAAATCCCAAAATCCTGACAAAACTTATTTTCAGGTCTTCACTTTTGGAGTGATATTAGAAAAATTACACTTACAAAATGCTCATATTAACATCTGATTTGTGTCTGGGACTCCAACAGCAGGAAGAATCTGTTTCTGAGACTGCAGTTTTCTGTGAATCTTCACAGCGTTTCCAATAATCTGCTTTTGATCTGTTCTTTCCATCCATTTCCTTTCAGTGACAAAATTACAGTATTTTTCCTCCTCGTACTTTCACTAGAGCATGAAAGAAAGTAATAAAATATTAGTATACATCTCCATGATTGTACATGTGGTCATTTTTCTTTCTCTTCCACCAGAAGTCATTGTACAAAGCAAAATAACCTACACAGGTTGTACAGCTACAAAAAATTGTTTGAAATTGCATGCTTCTATTGTATTCATCTTTCAAAATTATTCATTCTTTTCATTGTATAATTAACAACGTTGCTCTAGTTATTGTGTTCTTTCTCCTAACTAAGAGAAAACCAAATAATGACACAGTTGTGTGAAGCAAAAAATTTCACAGAATCGCAGAAACGCCGAGGTTGGAAAAGACCTACAAGATCATCCAGTCCAACTATCCACCTATCACTAATAGTCCTCACTAAACCGCATCCCTCAACGCAACTTTGAAATGTTCCTCAGCGCCTCCAGGGCCGGTGACTCCACCACCTCCCTGGGCAGCCCATTTCAGTGCCTGACCACTCTTTCAGAGAAGTAGTATTTCCTAACATTCAGCCTGAATGTCCCTGGACTCAGCCTGAAGCCATGAGGTTAACAAAACATTATGAAGAACTATTCAGATATTTAATAATTACTTTTTGGAATAAAAATCACTGTGCAAGAATTTTCAAAACCAAGCTTCCTCTCCATGTCAGGGTGGTTTGGAGCTCAGTGATCTTTAAGGTCTCTTCCAACCTAAGCCTTTCTATCAGCCTATGACTCCCGTGTCCAATTAATATATTAGCAACATCAGTGATTTCTGTTGTCTCTAGTAGAAAGCTGATGTTCTTGGCTTTCTGATCAATTCAATAGTCAACTGATATCAACTATGTGCTCCAGTGACTAATTCCTTCTTTCTGGGTTTATGAGATGGGCTTGATGACCTGATACAATTCTCTACCCTATATTAGGCTGACTGCAAAGTGAAGGAGTCTTGCTGAATGAGTCAGCAAAGTATCTATCACTTTTAAGTAATCGTTTAGTCTCTTAGATGGTTGAAGTGATTATACATTGATGAATGTGAGTAGGACACGATCTACTGGAATGCTTTGGGAAATGGTATCAAATACATTTTAATATATTAACTTATTTTCAAATACTAATATATATTCATAAGGTGGTTGGGGTGAATTATTGCTTGAAGAATTCAATTTTAATAGATTTGATTATAAGAGAAAGAATTTAGCAATTGCCCTTCTTCCCTGATGGTATTTGTGAATTGTAACTTGCTGTAGTAGGTCAAACACAAAACATCAGAAGATATACCTTAAAGAAATTGAATATACCCTCCTGAATCTGTTGGTGCTGTGGGATAAATGATGGCCTGTGTAACAATAGCAAGGCACCACAGGAAATGGCTTCCTCCTCATGATGACGTAAGTGGAGGACCTTGTCCAACACTCTGGATGTCTCCACTTAGCCGCTTCCTAGAGTCATCTCTGTCCTGCCCAGCCTGCCTTTCTGTAACAGCTTTTAAGGAACAGTACACAAGTCTGTGTTGCTGTTAATCACCTTTGGCTGGCCAAGAGACTGCACACTGTACAGCATTCATCCATGACTCTGTCTCCACCAGGTTTGTCTACTGTAGTGTGTCATTTGCTGAGCAGTGCTGCTGATGGAGGGAACAACAGATGCCTTCTTGCAAGGTAACCTCAAATAGGTAGGTTTGGGGTTTTTTTCCTTCTTATTTCTTGTGTATATTTATACTGCAAAATACAATTAATTTACTTTACTAAATTACTTCTACAAAGAAAAGTGATATAGTGAGATTTGGTACTGCATTATTTCTGTGCTATCTCTGCCTTTCCATGCTAATCAACTGCCTAGAGTAACAAGCAAATACCTACATAGATGAGCAGGAGTTTCCATACATTCTACTTGAATTACAGACAAAAAGAGCTCTATTCTCTATGGCATAAACATTTGCTGATTCTAGCACACAGTGGAAATGTATACTCAGTGCACTCAGAACCTTAGAAGTGAATCACTTCTTCTGGGGAGAGGAAGTAAGCATGCAGTAATTGTCAGTACAACAAGCTGTTCTGATTTCCTTTTACTTGTGAAGACTCTTCCAGGCAGGCTTGGAAAAGATTTGAAGTCATACAAGTAGGTGTGCAGGAAGAAAGGCATTAGCAAGGTTTAACTTACCGTCCTCCCAGGATGAGTCTTTCAATATCTCTATCTCTGCAGAATCTAGCTGCTTTTCAAGGCTCTTCTTCCCACTAGGTCTTGATCTCAACAAGCATTCTAACCCTCATAAACCTTTGAAAGGAGCCCCTGAAAATGGGACAGAGCTCCTGAGGTCACAAACTGACCCAAAAGGAGTAGAAAGGGGCCATTCTCCCTTGTTCCTTGCTCGCTGCTCTCACCCAGCACTCACGCATTAGGATGGTGCCCACAGCAGATCGACAGGGAGGTGCAAGCAGCCAGTGGCTGGGGCTCTGTTATGGTTTAGCCTTTCCTTTTCCCAGGGGAACTGAGCTCCAGCACCAGTGCTGATTTCCTGAGCTGTTTGCTGGGATTGCCCTCTACTGGGCCAGGGCGAGCTGGGCTCCTACTGCCATGCAGTCAGCACCAACAAAATGACAAAATCACTGGTACTGACACTGCTGGCCCATGCTCGCTGCTTTGATGGTCCCACTCTGGAAAGTGATTTCTAAAGCAGAACTGCCTTGCTCTGTGGGATGATGGCTTCTTCTAGTAGTAACCTGTCACCACAGCACTCTCAGTGCACCTACTCCAGCAAGGACAGATCCACACTCAGAAACTGCAGATTAAGTGAGCAAATGGATGATAGGGCTATTCTAAGATGCTTCATTGATTATTATTTGTTTGTATGAAAAATGCAGGTGCCTTAAGAGACTTTATGCAAGTAATAATGCTATTATTTATGAACTCTGGCATCAGCAGTGCTGCGCCTGCTGGATCTCCAGACCTGCACAGGCTGTGATTTTATCAGGTTGTGCAAATCTGGGCAGGTTCAGGTAAGGATCAAGAGAAGGACATCTGGATCCTGCAGAGAGACAGCAGGCAATGCTCTTTCTTCCAAGTCTATTTGATGTGGCATCTCAGAATGGTTTAGGGACATTAGGTCACTGTTCCTTTAATTTTATAAAACAGTGAGAAGTGTGTGGGTACTCTCCAAGAGCAAAGGAAAGCCAAGGTAAACTCCGTCTTTGCTGCTCTGTGATGTCCTACTGCATATGTGTTTGGCACGAGAAAGGATCAAGCGGCTCAACTTCCCATGTGCTCTTTACATGGTTATGTTTTATGTTCTACTGTATTGAAGTGCCCTCTGCAATTGCAGCTGGCTGTGACAGGCCTCTGTGCACCTTGATGTGAACTGTGAGGCAGTTTCTCAGCCTGTTTTTCGCATCATTTGCCAGGTGTTAGCCATACCCTTCCCTAATGCAGAGCATTTTACCAGAGCAGTTGACCGCATGCAGCTTCACAGAGAAGTGTCTTGGGACGCTGCTCAAATGTTTGTGCAGTGGATAATCTGACAGAGCTGATGGCAGTGTTTGCAGTTCTGCTTTGTTTTGTTATTGACTGGAATTTCAAGCTGAGCCTTAATAGGGGAAAATTAATGACTGAACAGGTGTATACACTCTCTCAGATATGAACTGCAAAGGCAGTCACACAGTGTCCAAACATACTCAGTGTCTGTACTGGTTTTGAAAGAAATCAGAAAGCATCTGTATTTATATACACAGGTATAGCTTGGGAAACAGTGTTGAAGAATTACTGCTAAAAAGTTCTGATGGGCTTACAAAGTTGCTGAAAGCTGCAGACTTTTGATTCCAAGGAGAGATTAGGGCAGACTGAAGTAATGGCTTAGAAAAAGTTACTCAGAGAAAGGGCGGTGCTAACAGACTCCCCAGACTTCTTCCTTTCATATCCTAACACTTTAGCACGTAATTGCAAGTGAAGTATGACAGGAATCAAGGGACAGATTGATCCCTTAAATGTGATCTTTTATCCTTATACCAAAAAAATGATACCCTTTCCTACAGCCTCATTTCATGCATTACTTTCTGCAAGACTTGAAGGGCAAGACCCATTGGGAATGTGATTCCAAAGCGGAGGAATTAGAATCCGATGAGAAAGATGCTGTGTGTTGTATGCAGAACCTCTTACTGATGCATTTTAGCTTGATTCTCCAAGCCTGGAAACTTGAACAAGTGTTTCAGGAGCACGTTAATAACTTGTTTTTATCTTGATTTATAAAATGAAGCCAGAGCTAATACATAAGACCTCTTTCTTTTAAGGAAGAGAGGCATTTACAGGTTTAGATTTGTTCACTAGATGTTTAATGCAGCCAAAAAAGATGATTCAGCAAGACAGGAGTGAGACAAAAGATGTGGTGGCTCCTTTTGGACACAAAGACACGTTAGCAGCAGTCAGACTTTTGACAATATACAAATTTATTGTTGTATAGCTGATTTTTGCCTCTTTCTATCCTTTGGTAACCCAGAGAGTCCTGGCTTGCTCAAAGCACTCTCTGGTCCTTTGGTGCTATGGAATACTTCTTCTTATGGTACTACCACACCCAATTTTTCCTAAACAGGAGGTACTGCTTTGGTTTGTGCCATCCAAAGCTAGAAAACACCTCCTAGCATCTGTGTTATGTGTACAAACATATGATTTTAAATGCAAAGTTTGGTTTAAAAAAAAATATTTTCATGTGGGATATTAAATATTATTGTGTTCAATATTTAGAATCCTGCCTGCAGAGGAGGCAGGGAGCACACAAGTGTTGCTAAACACTTGTATTTTTTGCTAGCTAGCTAACTAGAGAAAGATGAGAATGGAGACCATGCATAGATGGCTTCATGATTATGTAAGTAACAGACTGTTCTGTATTTCTATTGATCTGTTAGCCTGGCCACTCACTGACTTGTGATACACAAACACAGCTCCTTGATACTATTTTTTCATAACCAGTTAACCAGTCCTCCCTGAACACAAGCATGTAGTAAAAGGGAGCATACTGCATAATAACAATGCCTCTCAAGTTCAATTGTAAGTGTTTGTTTTCATTCACAAAATGGAAA